GGACACTTTGCATGCTTTACACAGGTACCAGTCAAAAGGGAGGTGCTGAGAAACTTCAAAAGATAGTACTATGAGCATCAAAACAGATAAAACAAATTACTAAATTTGGAATTTCACCAGAATAAGATTAATATTGTGCACAAGGAAGTAATTTTAATGGCCACGTGGGCAGCATCTCAGCTCAATTTCAAAAATTCAGTGCTATTACCAGTTCAGAAGCTTTTAACATGATGCCAAACCAGTGGACAAAACACTCTTGAACAACCATCATGATTTCTTTAAGTTTTTAAAATTGTAAGAGACTATCACAAATTACCAGCAAACCCCAGTCCTGACAGGGTATCAGATCAGAGAAGAGCATGCCACCTGGAAATGAAATAGTTGTTGGGAGTCTGATCAGCACAGCTATCAGGATGAGCTGACAGATCTTGGGGCCATCCCAGCTCAGGCAATCATAGCTCCAATGAAAACCTCCCTCAAACCTTCAATGGCTGAAGAATCAAGAGCCTACTCTGAGGCACAGTACAGCTACACAAGGCTTTACGCTGCCATCTGAGTTATTAAGCAACATCTGACCTGCACAGAGGCTCTAAGACCCTTTTTTTCTGACTGCTTTCCCAAGGAAATAAGACAATGCTTTCTATCTGTCTTTCAGATTTCTCTCAGTATGGACCAAGAGTTTCAGAAGTTATCCATGAGAGTTAAGGAAGAGTTGCGGATCTAAGAGGTCTTTGGAAGGACTGTGGTACTTAAAGGGTGCAGAAGAAAACCTCCAAGTCAGTGGCCCCACTAAGGCAACCAGCTGTTGCAGATTCATTTGGCCATGGGTGTTTGGCCACACAGCACAAGTGGAATGCTGACTAAGCTGAACACAGACCCATCTCGCCCAACCTCAACAGCTGCTGCCTCTTGTCCCACTGAGTTCTTTTGGAAAGATTTGAGCTTTCCTGTGAAAAGGAAATAGCCCACAAAACCACAGGAAAATGGATTTCATTGCCTGAAAAAAATTATTTTTCAATAAGGAATTTTCCTTTACTTGTAATTTAAGAATGAAGACACCACCATCAATGTTTTTATTCCTCAATGCTTTGGGGACTCCAGTCAAATTATCTAGACCTCACTTAACACAGTTATTTAATGTTTCCTCAGCAGAAAATCTATTACTATTTTGAAGCTGACTTGCTCACAGAGAATCTGAAAATCAAGCTAAAAGCTAGATTCTGATTTTTAGTTTAAATCTCCAAGTGTAAATCTTTTGAAGTGACCAGGGATAGAAAGTAAAACTGGTAAGAAAAACCAACCAAATATATAACAAACACTGTTGGACTCTAAATGACTTATTATTCCACTCAGAAAGAAGACTTTTTATAGCCTGATGAAGACCAACTCAGTGATGAGCAGCAGTAAACAGGGAAATGCCATTACAGAAGTTATTTGAAAGATGGTAGAGATAATATATGAAATACTCTTATAAATTGCTAGTACATTCACAATGGGAATATTTCCCCCTTAAAAAGAAACAAACAAACTGGAATGGCCCAAAGAAAGGCAACAAAGAGCTTTAAAGGAATGGAATGGCTTTTTATCAGCAAAGACTGAACAGATCAGTATTCAGATTCAAAAATTAAAACCAGAGAGAGAGTAAAGCTTAACAACATGAAGTCATGAGAGAAATGAAGAATGCAAATAAATGATTATTATTCACTAGTTGCTAATGTGACTCCTGATTCCTGAAGTTACCAGAGGAGCTGCTTCAAAGAAAAGTGTCAAAATCCTGGGACAGACAGAATATTTTCTTTCCTGCATTCCTTTAAACAAATACAGGATTTATGGGCCTGGATGGTTCTGTACTGCAGGAGTATGACCGTGCTCCGTACCTGCATCAGCAGCTGAAGGATCAGTGGGAAGAGTCTGCAGGGAGCGGCTGAGGCTGGTCTTCATGTCCTGGGTCAGCAAGCGTGAGGAGGAGCCCAGCCAGTTTGGCTCTTCCCAGCTTCTCTTTCCCGACTGGCTCAAGCGAGTGGGGCTGCTGGGAGCGCTGATTGCCCGGTCGTACATCTAAACCAACATTACCAGGAACAGTTTGAGTCTTTAAGGGCCCAGCACCTGCATTTTACCCCGTACCGTGTCTTTTTATTTCCCACTCCTTCCTCCCAGTGCCCCGTGCTCCGGCCCCAGCGCGCTGCCCTGCCCACTCACCCGCTTGACGGCCAGCGTGGCGATGCCCAGCATGGCTGCTCCGCCCACGCCCAGCACCAGCCGGGCGTTGGACAGCACGAAGTCGATGGCTGTGCCGATCCCGTTGTCATCCTTTTTCCCTTTGCGCTGCCCAGCGCCTGCCATTTTACCTGGAGGGAGCAGGAACGTTAAACAGATGGGTCAAAACACGCAATCCTGACAGTTCACTCCCTTCTCCCCCACCTCACACCCACGGCTCTTGGGGTCTCAGCACAGAGCCATAGGAAGAGACCACCTAACCCTGCAGCCTCTTTAATCATGTTCCCTCAAGGAGTTGCTTGTTCCCAGTCATGCCAGGACAGTAGTGACCAAGCCCTGCAATGACAGCATTTCTTTGCTTCCAGCAACATTTATTACCTGAAGGAAAACATTCAAATTTGATATGGGGTTTCTAATCATTGAAGCAGGTTTAATAAAAGAATGTAGGGCTTAATTCCACAATATTTTGTAATAAAATCCTGCATATTATGGAGAACTCTATGACCATTCTGGTATTTTCCTTCTAGATTGGGCTTCTCAACCAAAGCATGGCCAATTTATTTACTAATTTTCTGAGTGTAATTTTGCTCACAGACAGGGAGATACAGGGATGGTTACCTGCTTGTCTGTAACAAATCAGAATCTTCCCAAGAGCTGACAGATGGTCTCACATTAATTTCTGGATAATGGCTGATCTCAGATACTTCAAAAACACCCAAGAAACAACAATAGAGACCAGAATGCACCATAAAGGGAACAATTCCCTTGCTTTCACTGGACATTTATTCCTGCCCTTACGGCTGGTGGGTTTTGACTCTCAGACAAACAATGTATAACATTAACACTAATATTTTCTTACACGTGTACTTTTGTATTCTTTGATTCCCATTTCACCTAACCTTGAGATTTAATTAAAGAGTCTCTCCAGCCAACATAGCCTCAAGCTGCGACAAGGAAGGTTCAGGCTGGACATCAGGAGAAACTTCTTCACAGAAAGGGTGATCAGACATTGGAACAGGCTGCCCAGGGAGGTGGCAGAATCACCGTCCCTGGAGGTATTTAAGGAAGGACTGGATGTGGCACTGACTGCCTTGGTCTAGTTGATGTAGTGGTGTTCAGTCGTTTGTTGGACTTGATAGTCTCAGAGGTCTTTTCCAGCCTAACTGATTCTGTAAAACCCACCTTGGCACCACTGTACCTGTAGGTGGATCCCCAGTGAATCTACATGAAAACAACCAGGAAACTCTTCCAACATGACTTGAGGTCTATATTCTGAGTCAGTTCCAAAGGTTCTCAGCCTGACTGCTTGCCTGACTTGAGTGGTTTAAAACTGCCCCTTGTTTTTTCTAAATCCAAGCTACAATCACAGGAGGAATGTTCTTGCCTGGATGAATCAGGAATACAGTCACTTGTGATGGCCAGGCAGAAAAGATAATGCACCTTCACAAAGCTCGCTGTAACAGCAGCATGAAGAACACAGTGATATAATCGTAAATGACCTACCTGTGACCTAATGCATTTGTGAAAAGAACAGGAGAGCCCTCCTGGTGTGCCTGTGGAAGCGCCTTCCAGACTTCTTCAAGACAGTGGTGTGCAGTGAGTGTTAATCATCTCTTCTGCTTGGCGAGGTTGTTTTGGAAAGAAGAGGTAAGTAAGTGGGGCCAGTGGGAGCTGCTACAGGGAATCTCTACACCAGGCCGCCGAGCCCGCTCTGCAGGAACGCCTGCCCCTTCTCCAGCTGCCTCTCCTTGTCCTCCGGGCGCTGCAGCCCCTGGTTGCGGCGGAACTCGCGGCGGACGGTGGCCAGGTAGAAGTCGCGGTCGGTGTAGCGCAGGGCGCGGCCGCGGCGCAGCAGGGCCCGGTACAGCCCCAGCACCGCCCCGCGGGACCACGCGGCCATCGGGGCAACCGTGCGGCGCGGGCGGGCGACCTGCGGAGGAAGGACCGAGGAGGGATCCCAGTCGGCTCTTCCCTTCCCCCGAGAGGCACCGGCCGCCGCCTCCCGCTTCGTGCCAGGCCCCGGGAAGGGCCGGGGCCGCCTCCCTAACGACGCCGCGGTAACGGGCTCGCCGAGGGGTCCACTCGCAGCATCTGGTCTCGGCCGGGGGAGGCGGGCGGCGGCGCCGCAATCACCGAGCGGGCCCGAGCCCCGGGCGGGGGTCGCTCCGGTGCCTCCCGGCGCCGCTCTCGGGGTCACCCGGCAGCGCGGCCCTTCCGCTTCCGGGGCCGCGGCCCCGCGAGCGCCAATCGCAGCGCGAGCCCCGCGGGGGCCGGGCCGCCCGTGCCGCGCGGCGCTGTCGCCCCCTGGCGGCGGGGAGGGAACTGCGGGCGGGGGGCACCCGCGGCCAGCGCTGCCCGCGCCGCTCCCGCCGGGAAGGGGCCGCTGGCAGCACGGGCTCCCCGGAATGTCGGCCCGGCCGGTTCCCGTGTCCGGGGCAGCCGGAGCATCAAGAAGGTTTTCCTTTTGTCGTTCTGGCTGAGACGCGCCTGAATGCCATCAAATGTTCATGTGAGAAAGGGGAGCGCTGGTCGCGCCGCAGCGAGTGACACCCACAGCACAGAGCACCAGGGCTGAGCGTGCCGGCTGCCAGGGGAGCGCAGGGTGAGAAGATTCCTTTGGTGCTCCAGGGTCACAGAACCACAGAATCAGTTAGGCTGGAAAAGACCTCTGAGACCATCGAGTCCAACCCATGACCAAACAACACCATGTCAACTAGACCATGGCACTCAATGCCACATCCGGGCTTTCCTTAAACACCTCCAGGGATGGTGACTCCACCGCCTCCCTGAGCAGCCCATTCCATATGTCTGATCACCCTTTCTGTGAAGAAATTTCTCCTGATGTCCAGCGTAAACCTCCCCTGGCAGAGAGCAGGGTTAATGCTGTGTGTCTCAAGGTACCCCTGACTACCCTGATGCTTTCTAGAGAATAATTTATCTAATTCAAGCTCCTTATCTTTATCTCCAAGGAACCCCAAGGCCTAGCCTGGAAGTCTCAAGAGCTCTAGGAGAAGAGCAGTAGCTGGCAGCCTCTCTGGGGTCTGCCTGAACTAATAGAAGGAGCCTCCTGAAGCCAGAACCTTTGCCCCCTCTGTCTGGGTGCAAATCTCCCTTTTCCGTTCTCATATTTTCTACTATATGCCTACTCTGAGGCATGTATATATTCCTCCTTAGCTGTCTCCTCCTCCCCAGGTCCTACCAAATTATAAAACATTACCACATATACCATGCCTCCCCTGGGAGAGAGGGTGAGAGAAAGAGCAAACCGTGTGTGACAGAGGAGAGCCACATCACTTCACACACTTCTCAGCGACACCAGATATGACAGTGATAGAACTGAACAAGAAGAAAACCAGAATCTCTGGACTGGCTCACTCTGTGCCAATCTCCTCTTGTTCATTTCCTTTCTGAGATAAACAACACCAATCATTTTGATCTCTCTTTGTGAGCAAATTTGCCATGCCCCTAATCAGCTCTTTCTGAGAAAGGCTTACTTGAACTGCAGACAGTATTCCCAGAGAGGCCACGCTAGTGATTTACATAATAGCATTATCATATTTTCCATATTATTCTCCCCTTCTTCATTCTGCATGCTAATATTTTGTGTGTGCTTTTTTTTAACCTGCAGCTACTCACAGAATCAGGGGTTGTGTGACATCCAGATTCTTTTTTGAGTTGCTAGAGAACATCTGGAGCTTTGTAATTCTTACACACAATTTGTTTTTTCTGACTTTGCACGTGCCCAGTTAAACCTTGGCAAACGTGTGGTGTTGCCCATTTGCCACATTTGCATTTTACTCAGTCCTTTCTGATCTCCTCAAGAGTAAATAGCTTTGAGTCATTCTTCAAAAATGTTTGGTATATTGCTCATCTTTGTTTCCAGATCATCAGTTCATATACTGGGCATTCCAGGACCTCAGAGGCAGCGTTCATATTCCCTACCCTTAACCTGCTGCCAGAATGAAAATCAATCTTTGAACTTTCCTCCCAGCTTCTTGCCTCCTCCTTGGGTTGTTAATCCACAGAAATACTTCACTCAACACAACAGGGTTCTGTCACCTCTGGGCAGGTGTGCTGATGAGTCCAGTCTCCAAAACTCTCAAGTATGGATCAAAACTGGAGCAGCTCCATGTGGCAACCCCCTGATGTACTACAAATGGGATCTGCTGGATCAGGCTGCTCAATGATGGACTTCCCTTGCTGCCCTGCAGCCAAGGACTGTGGGCCTCCGTAAGTGCCCCCTCCCCAGCCTGGCCCCCTTGGCTTGTGCTTATTCTGGTGTTTTTCTCCGTTCTTTTCCCCCTCAGGCTGTCTGCCAGCTCCCGGGCCCCTTGCCAGCAGCTGCATGCGCGTGTTGTGAACTACTCCACCCACACAAAACTGCCCCAGCCCCTCCATGGAGGTCACTCTCTGTGCCCACTGCCCGATGTGGACTCCCCACGCCTACACTGAACGAGTGTTCAACCTGCCCCTCCTGCCTTGTAAGGAGGAGGGTGAGTGCAACAGCAGAGCAGCACATGACCAACGCCATCCCAGCTGCTGTGAGAGCGCCAGACCTCTGGTGACAGGGTGGGCGTTGTAAACTTGAACTATGCCTTGAGACAATGAAGCAACATCCCCACTTTCTCCAGTGTTTCCCAACCTAGTCAGCTCCTCTGCTGACCCACTACATGCAGCTGTGCCAGTGGGGACACACCCAGCACCCCCAAAACTTGTGCTGCCCCGATGGGATACTGGCCCTAGCGCCCCATTGCCTCCAGAACCCTGTTGCTTGGTGGCTTCTTTGCCCATGGACTCACTGGGAATGGGGTTCCCCCTGTGATTCCAGCCTGTGTCCCTGTAAGAAAGGGAATTTACTTGCCCCAGTGGGGCACAGTGCAGAGAGGGGGGGGCACACCTCCACTGTGCTCCTGGAGAACAGTAACGACCTTTGTTTCCCCAAATGACTGAGTTTGTGAAATATCAAAGGCAGCATGTGTGACAGGGCACAGTAACCCATGCTGGTACTTGGGATAAAGCTAAGACATTCCCCCAGACCCTGCCTCCTTGGAAGTCTCCAGAGTTGCCACTCCTCTGACAGTCTTCTCATGATTGCAGCCAGTCCTGCCACTCAAGCAGCCACTGCCACAGGCTTTAATGTCCACCAAAAGCAGCAAATGGATGGCCCCGAGCCTGGTTTGCAGCCTCTGCTTGTGGGAGTCAAGTGCCATGCCCAGGGCTTCCCATCACCCATTTTGCAAGGGCAGGACCATTACCAGCTAGGGAGACATCCCTGTGGTGCCTGCCACCTCCCTTGGCAGCAGAGAGGTGAATGTGACCCTCAGAGCTGCAAATGGCATCTTGGAGGGGCTCTGCGGGGATGGAAAACAAACTGTGCTTGGAAACAGAAGGGTGGCCTCCTAGAGGAGACTGAAAACAGTTCTAAGATGCGAGAGGGAAAATGCGTAGTGACCCACCAATGCCATCTAAACTTGGGCTTAATATCCTTAATATCTTTTAGTAAGTGGACCTTGCAGGAGGCCTTTTGGCAGTCTCACCCTGTTCAACAGTTTTCTCTTTCATTGCAGCCCTATTTCTTCACTTTTCTCGAGAAATCGCAAGGATTAATGACATTTGGGCTCCTGCTCTCCAGCTGCAAGAAGCCAGGAGGGGCAGAGGGCCAAGGGTGGCCACATGGCTTCATTTCCTGAACCCCCAGCAGCTTTGATGCTGAGTGCATGTGGAAAGGAAGATGGATGGTGAGGGAGGAGAGACTGCTGGTACGCAGCCACCTTTCAAGGAGCATTCCTGATTTACAGCCGAGACCCAGATTTTAGTACAGACAGTAACTATCCACCCTGGGGAGCCATGCTCATGGTATGTTTTAGAGAGGGCAAAGAAGGGAGAAGTCCTAGCCTTCCTGCAGCTGAAGTGGGTCTTTTCAGCTCCCCAGATTCCAGCCCTGCAGCCCAAGGTGCTCGAACACTGCCAGCAGCAAGTGGTCTGTGTGATGCAGAGCTGCTGCCCCTGCAAGGGGCTGCACAAAGTCACTGAGGAGGCTCAGTTTTATTACCCAACAAATTGAAATTGCTGCTGTGGTATTATTACTACTGGTCTGTGCCCACCTTCATTCTTACCACAGCTCATGTTTCTTCAACCAAATTTCCCCATGGCTGGGTTTGTTGGGGATTTTTCTCGTTACCCCCAACTAATAAAATTCCAACCCCATTTTTCACTTTGCACCAGCTGCATGCTGCAGGAGATTTACAGAGCCATTCAGAGACCCTGCTTTTGAGAGTGCTGTTATCCTCACAATTCTGTGTCACTCCGACAGCCTCGTGGGCCTTCTACAGTGTGTCTGCAGAGATCAGAGAGCTTGCAGCTGGTGGTACCACCTCGGGCTTTCTTGTGCTCCTTCACATGCTGCAATGAGGTTCTCCCAGTATGAACATGGGACTTTGGTTTGTGTAAGGTGTTATCTGGACTCCCAGTATCACATGGGGTTTGGTCCCGTTTCACAGATTATTCTGAGCTGGAAGGGATCTGCATCCAACTCTTAAGGGAATGGCCTGTACAGGGATTGAACACATGACCTTGGTGTTATTGGCACCTCACTCTAACCAACTGAGCTAATCTCAGGTAGCAAAGAAGGGGGCACCTGGATTTGAGCCAGGGACCTCTTGATCTGCAGTCAAATGCTCTACCACTGAGCTATACCCCCCCTTTGTACAGACCTACAACCTGAGAAGGGCACAGCTACTATATCCTGCTGATCCTCTTCTTTTTCCAGGTAAAGGCACCTATTGCACATCTTATCTCGTTAAGTCACGGGTCCTTAGACAGATTTATTTCTGCCCCATTTTGGAAAATCTACCTGGTTTTGGTTTTGCAGTAGTCTGATATTTCATTTCTGGGTAACAGTTTGAGTCAAATGCTTTAAAAACACTGTGAAGCAAACAGAAATGTGTAGATGTTTTCTACCTTCTTTTATTTTTGTGTGTGTGCCTGGTTCTTAGTAAGTGTCTGAGGGGGAAAAAAAAAAAAAGATATGACTGATGATTTGTTGCTCTTTCTTTGGAAAAGGTCCAGACTATAGAACAGGGCTAAAATGCCAGGAAAGAGTTTGCTGCATAGAGGCAGGCTTATATTATTTGATTTCTTACATTCCCTGGGTAACATATTTTCTTTAATTTGAGATCCTGGAGAAGTCATTTTAGATCTTTATTCAACACAGCTTATTTGCTCTTCTTCTCAGTTTTCCTTATTTTTAGAAAGGTGAAGCATGTTCCCAAATTAAATCGTTTCTGGGATGGACCTCAGCCAAGAGGATCCATGGTTCAAGCCGTAAGGCACAGGAAAAATAAGAGTAAAACAATGGAGTTTTATATTGTGTTTCGTTTGGCAGGGTGAGGAGAGATATGGCCTTGAAAGATTTGCAGTCTTACATAGCTATAGTATATTTCAAAAGACAGTAAGAACTACTTTCACTTCTCACTTTGCTTAAAAAAAATAAGCACACCCAGAAATGCTAGAAATGTGGGATTGCCAGATTCTCCTTAGTTCCGAGAAAAGGTTTGTGTTTGGGGATCTCGGAGATGCTTACAGTAACATCCCAAATATTAGCTGAAGTGGGCTGATCCTCTACCCTTTTGCTGATGTGCTTGTCCCTGCTGCAGCTACCAAGGCAGAGCTTGCAGCAGCCTGGCCCCAAGCCAGGCTCCTCTCCCTAGCGTCCATGGATTATATTCCTTATGTCAGCCTCTCATTTCAGTGACCCAGAGATCCTTCTCCAGATGGGACAGTTTTGCACAGCTCCTCTGAGGTTGTTTTGCAGTGACAGAGCAAAGCTCTGCAAAGCTTTCTCCCAGGTGAAAGTTTGACACACGGTGCCCGTGAGCCACAAGAAAATGTGCCACTGCCAGGGAGCAAGAACGTGCCTCCCTTCTGCCATGGCTGTGGCCAAATCCCCTCTGTCACAGTGCTCTGGAAAGCAGGGCAGCCAGTGCCTGCAGCTGCGGGCATGTGAGCATGAAGCCATTTGCTGGTGACGCTCTCTGGGGCTGGGATGACTCTCCCTGGCTGCTCCACGGGCTGCCTGCCAGCCAGCTGAGACCTCACTGCTCCCCCAGCTGAGCCACTAAAGCAGCAAGATTTAAAAACATAATATAAAACTGGACTAATAATTAAAAATTAACTGTCCCTGCTAAACAGCATATTAAAATGTATCCTTACACAGGGAACAAATGTCTCCGAGCAACAAAAGCAAACAACCAGCAAGCCAGGGTCTGGTATCTCCTTTCCAGCTTTCTGAAAGGGTAAGTTTATATTGAAGTCACTTTTTTTCCAAGCACCCTGGTGTTTGGAAACAGCTCGTCAATTCCCATACCAGCTAACCTGCTGCAGGCATCGACTGAGAGTCAGCTGGAGCCAGACTCTCCAGGAGCCAGGGATGGAGAGTCCGCCGCAGCCTCGGTTCCCATCAAGCAGTGTCGCATGGTGCCCATGATGAGCACCACAAATCTCTGAACAATGGTGAGAGCTTCAGGGGAACAACTTATTTCCAAGGCAGGTCACGCCAGAGCTCCTCCATGATCCATCGCCCCATCTGACATCTGTTGGTGCACTGCAATTCTGCAAAACACAGGATTTACGTAGCGTTGGATGGTTTGCACGCTCCTGGTTCAATTTGGTGCTTAAGGCTCCATATCCATATCTAGGATGCATCTAGATCCCTTTTGGTATGTTGAAGGACCCTCTGAGAGATGGTATATAGGGCTGGTGGTGGAGCCACATGCTCCCTGCACTCTGCAGACCATCAGCACTGCTCCTGCAAATTAGGGTCTCCACAGCAGACTGTTTGCCCAAGAGTCAACCCTTCTCTCAAAGACTCCTGCAGCAAAAGCTTGTGCTTTCTGGGGAAAAAAGTCCTGGGTTCAGTCAATGCCTTCTTTTAAAACCTTGCAAGAAATGAAAGAAATGCCATTTAGGTTACTTCTTAAAATAATATAAATGTCAGTGAAGATTTTGTGTTGGAGGCAATTAAAATAACGTGGGAGAACCTTTGACCTAGTCATGTCTCATTTCTTAAACTGTCTCACTAAACTGCCATTGGTCTATACTTTCCCTCTTGAAAAACTGAATTTCAGGCACGTTGGCCATTATCTATTTTTAGATTATTCCCTGTTCAGGCACAAAAATACAGTCATTGCTGTGAATGCTAAAAATTCTTAATAGAAAATTTTGTTAATTTTGGGTGGCATGTTTATTTCAGGCCCTTTCAGCAATGCTCAACACAAGCCACTAGTTTGGTAAGAGACCCTTCCACAAGAGGAGAATTGAAACATTAGGCTGACATGGAAGGCAGAAAGAAGAGGGGAATGCACTGGAGCTAATGTTTATGAAGAAACTAACCTATGATGTTTACAGTCACTATCTTAGAACCTGAAGTCTAAGACACTTAAAAGGTAAGAAATGAAATGGCAGTAGATGGCACATGAGCTTACAAAAGGCCTTTACCAAAGGCACTTTAGAGGCTGGATGTTTAGAAGGATTCAGAGCAGGATCAGGCTTTGATACCAAGTAATGGGAACAGCCAAAACTATGTTAGACAGGTTTAAAAATAAACTAAAACAAGGAGGTCATGTGCCAGAGAGGTATTTCTGCAATGGGGAGGTTTAATTTGGGGCTTCAGGATTTCCAGTGCTTTACTTAGAAAAAGGGAGGTATCCAAGGGAGCAAAGATGGTGTCAAAATACCATTTCATGAGCAGCTCTTCTGAGAGCCACTTAGCAGCTATTGTTCCCCACTCTTATGCCTTTACATGTTTATATTCACTTAACATGCAGAAGATTAGGTCTGACCTAGGCCCACAAAATCAGCAATCAGTCCCCAAACCAGCTGGGCTCCCCCTTAATCTCCCTTCTTGGGAACAGTGTTCCACTAAGATTGGGAGGCTCCCTCACTCCATTTTCCAACAATCCCTCCATGAGGCAATCAGAAATAAAAGGTGTCACACACATCCTTTCATACTTTGTAAATTTTTTTATTTTTATTATTATCTCCTCCTTTTAAGCATCCCTTTAAGGGTGAAATGAAATCCAACCATTTACAGAGAAAATGATTTCAGAATGTACATTTGATTTATCCTTACAAAAAGTTCATTATTACTTGCTGTTTATAAATTACAGAGTGGAAAGGAGATTTGCAGATGCTCTTATTTTTTCTTTTCTTTTTGTTTTTTTGGCAAGTCCACACATTCTTTTTCCAAAGCAGGGTGTTCTGGAGCCACTCCGGGGCAACACCACCAGTAGGTCCAGGTCGATCTCAGGCTCAGAAGTGCTGCTAGACCACCTCCAGGACGATACTGCATCATTATCCTCACAGGAAGGAAAAACCAGTGGTTCAAATTCTTAGAGTCTCAGAGCATTTCAGATCCCTTCTTAATCCAATGTATATAGTCCCCAAAGCTTTAAAATTACAGTGTATTGCATTAGAAACGGCTCTTCTTTCTTGGTATTGGATCTGAGCCCCTCCTATTACCCCCTTACTCTCCAGCTCCCCTTCTCTTCCTTCTCTTTCCATAACGTGAGTTTGTCCAATGTCTCAGATACCAGAAAGGAGGGGTTTGGGGAGGGTAGGGAGAACACTAATGGAGGGATACAGGATCCATTTTCCCACTCCTTTCCCTCCTTTCTCGCCAAGGTTAGAGACCAATGAAGCCAGGACTAGTCATCCCTTCCTCTTCACCACCAGTGTTCACTAATCGCACCAGGAGTGACCCTGGACACGTGTCTTCACAGTGCAGAGGCATAGCAGCCATGGAGATTGCTGGCAGGAGCTGGGAGACAGGGAGAGAGCCTGGGGGATACTGAAGAGGGGAAGAGACACTAACAGCCCACAAGGACACACCAAGGTGAGCGGAGGGGAATGAATACCCTCCCTCCATCACAACTCACGTTACCTGGAGGACACAAAGTTTCCTTGTTTACCTGTCACAGAGACACGAAGAACAGGCTGGCCTGAGCAGCACAACAGCAAACACCTTAGCAGGATACAGGGATCAGAGAAAGCAACAGCAAGAGTGGGCTTGAGCGTGTCATCCTTCATACCAACCACACAGGCACAAAATCACCCTTTCTTTTCTGTCTGTCACTTGGGCATGGCATTACACACAAAGGGGCAAAGATGTCTAACCTGCCCTACTCCCCCTGCTTTAGCAAACTCAACTGCTGCAGGTCCTTCCCTTCACTCAGGGCAGAGGAGGAAGATGGGTTCTCCGACTAAAGCCATGCATGGGCACACAATTCCTTTTTCAGGTGGGAAGCACTAAGACAGACAACAGAAGATAGGCAGGCAGAAAGAAATGCAAGGCTCGGGTGTGCCACTCACTACTTCACCTACTACCTGGCCTTCCTTTGCACCAATTTGAAGGTAGAAACATCTAGGGAAAGAAAAAGCACAAGGCTGAAGAGGGCTGCAGGAAAGGCTGGCGATGCATTCCCTCCTTCCACCAGAGAGTTTGCTCCCAGAGAGACAGCAGGTTTCACTGTTTATGGCTGCAACAACCCATAGACGTCAGGCTCTGGTAGTTTTATCCAGCCCAGAGGCAGGACAGGGTTATTGGTCCTTCTCAAGCCTCAGTACCTGGTTCAGATAAGATGAAGGAGTCTCAATACTCACAGTTCAGCACTGGGAAACAAAGATCTAACAGAAACCTGCCTCTTGCTTCACCTTTCTCCCGCCTCATACACCCACATGCTTTTGGGTTCCCTCCTGTGGTGGTTGTCTGGGGGGTGGCTGTCCCCTCCATGCACTGGTTGCAGAGGTCCTAGCACAGCAGTACAGGCAAGGCTGAACAGAGGGCAAGCCACTGCCTTGGAAAATTACTGTGCAAAAGTCAGCTTGCTGGTGTCTGTTCCTCCAGGGACAAAAAGGAAGATTTTTAATGACAAGCATTCTAGCTCCCTAAGGATAATAAACACAGGGCTAGCCAGACAAATTAGACAGAAACATTGACTAGTTTGGCCTTATATCAAAAAAATGTTTAAACAATTCTTGAGAAAGAGAAACAAAAAAGAATGCATTGCATCTGTAAAGCCCCTTCCTTCCACCACAACAGAAGTCTGGTTTAAATTTAATTTCCTTAGAGTAAGGAAGTGAGTAAGTCCAGAAGGCAGACAGGGCCAGAGTCCTACAGAAGAACCTGAGCATTGCTATTCCAGTAGGACCTTCTCCTCCAGCCTAAGGGGGCAAAAGGGAAAGACAAATCAGAGGAAGAGGAGAATGATGGAGCAAATAATGGAGAAGACAACAGGCTGTACTTCAGGAATAGGAGTTGCAGATACTGCAGCTGTAGACTTATCTGAAACTCCCAAGAGACAAAGGCCATACCTCAACACTGAAAACATGATTTGCAGTGCACTAAAAATCCCTGAGGACGGCCATGCATGAGAAGGACTGGTATTAGACGAGAAGCTGCTCCCACTGTGGAAGATAATGAGGTGCAGTCTCAGCACACAGGCACTTCAGCCCCTGCTTCACAGGGCTCCAGTGATGCTAAAGCACCCATGCAAAGACTGACTTGTCTTTCTCTTCTGTCTCCAGCAAAGCCTGGCATTGGCCTTGTGTTGCAATCACTAAGACAAGGCAATGCCAAAGGTCCAAGAGCAGATCTCAGGCTCCCTCCTATGAGTAAAAATGAGAAATAGCTTCTTCCTGCTATACTTTTCAGCTGCTGAATCCTATGAGCTAACACACCTGCTCTCCTCCTGCTGTCCCCAGGGAAAGCACATTCCCCTTGTGCTACAGCCTCAGTGGTACAGCTTTCATCTTGCTCAACGCAGGCTCCTTCTTTCTCAGCTGGGTCCCCATTTCTCTACAATCTTTCTGCACCCAAGACCTCCACACAGTTGCTTGGCACCAGGACCCCGTGACTATGACAAGAGTCCCTCCTGCTGCATCAACAAGTCTGGACTTAGAAGAGCCACAACTTCATTGTGGGAGAAGAGCATTCTGCCTAGCAAAGCTTCTCACTCCACCCAGTTCCCAAGGGGGCTTTCTGCCTGAGGGGAAGACACAACAAAAGTGAGAACAGTGATTTAAAAAGACAAAAAACCCCCCAATAACAAGAAAAGAGGTTCCTTCAGTTCTTATAAGCAGGCATTATGGCACACAAGACATGAAAGGAGCTAAGATGAACTGCATCTCAATTTGATCAGAAAAAGACGTTCATCTTTACTCTGTTCCAGTCTCAGCCTTATTAGGCAACCAAGTTACTTTTGCTGACATTTTTCCCTTCTCTAGAGAGGGATTAGGAGGGAAAAAGAGAGTCATGGATAGGAATGAAGCACAAGGGTGGCACATGCTGGACAACACAAGAACGCAGAGCCCTGGTGGAGTTAAGGGCAAAGGAAACCCCCCTGCTTTAGAACAGCTGGCCAAAAGGGCCACTTCTTTATGCCAGCGTTTTCCTCTTTCTCCTCTTCCATATGATCTCTGCTTGGAACATGAGTCAGTCTTTCCACTGCAAGGCTAAGAGAGCAAGTTCATAATGTTTTTCACCCTCTACCTGCTACGGCCCAGGGTCTGGGCACCCTGTCAAGCCATCTGCTAAGGAAGGGTGGAGACATGAATCTGCCTCTTCAATGAACTGAATCAATCCAATACAACAGGCCAGATCCTCACTACCCATCCCTGGCAAACTGAGCAGACACCAGCCCAGAGAGCTGCAACTAGCGTCCTCCTAGATCCCCTCCCCTCTGCATGGTCCAGGCTGGAGATGTGGGCTGCACACACTCTCTGGATTGCATGGTAGTCCCAAAACAGTCTTTTGGCCCCATGAGAATCTGCCCATGGCCTGTTTCTTCATGAGCTCACTCACGCCCTAAGAGCAGACAGATGGATCCTGTGCCTTGACCAGCTCTGTTTCCCCCACAACAAACTCAGAAGTTTACCCTTCATCTTCTCCCTTTTACTACCCCATGGTAAGAAGGAATAGCCAGCACGTGTAAGCAGCAACTCTGCAGCAGGCACTGCCTGTGGGATTGCAGAGGCAGCCAGAGAGGTATGCAACAGTCCGACATGTACAGTACTGCTATGCAGAGCCAATGCTATCCCTGGTCCTCTTGTATGACTTCCTCAAGAAGTCATCCATGCCAAGACTGAGTTTGCAGCTTCTGGATCCCACTATTTCCTGAAAGCACACACAGCCAAGCCCAACTATGCCCCCTTCCCCCCCAGTACTGGTAACAAACGCCCACGTGCACATCAAACCCATGCATGTTAGCACTCATGCACATAGGAAACCATGCACTTGCAAACACACACTCTCACCATCTGGTTGAGTGCCCTGCAGCTTATCCCAGCCCCAACTGAAGCACATACTGCAGGGGAAAACACTTCGGCTTCTGTGGGACAAGCCAGTGCAGTGTCATGGGGGCAGGGGCAGAAAATGAGTGGAAAAAAGCAAACAACAAAAGCCGGCTTTCTCCTCTGCTTCCCATCTGCCTGCTCCGGGATTGGTAGAGCGCTGGGGCAACATACAGCCCAGATGCATTAAACCTGTAGAGGGGGATGCATTTTGGGGAGGACACCTTAGAAGCAAAGGATTTCCCTTCCCCAAAATACTCTCTGAATATAGAGGTATACAACAAAACAAAAAGAAAAAGCATTCTGAGATGTTTCTGCACATTCACTCATCCAAAAAATGCTAGTGACACACATCAGACATGGCCACTTGCATCAGTTTGTGTCTGCTGACTCACACGCTCACTGAATAGCCCAGGCTTGCATCTGTGCTTGCTCCAATCCATGAAGGATGAGGGTGGATGGGAACAGTTGCCCACTCTCCCCACGGTACCCTCCCAGCCTCTCCCGGAGGAAAATCTGCCAGCTGGCTGCAGAGATTCTCTCCAGGCAGCAGGAGAGGTTTGGAGGATGCAATAAAGTCTTTATGCTACTATCAGAGTAGGTCCCCAATATCTCTCCTCCTCCTGCCCATGTGACTGAGGAATTCAGGTTCCCAGGCATCACCCTGGGATGAAGGGAAAAAGAAGAAGGAGGGAGGGAGGGCAGAGACCCCAGAGAAATGGCACACCCTGCCTATAAACAAAGGAAACAAAAGAAAGAAAAGGAACAGACGAAAACACCTGACTCTTTCCCTTTATTGTGAAGTTCTGAATTCCCACATGAGCCTGAGCTTCGTGGCCTCACCCAGCACCCTCTGCTTTTTGGTAGGGGTTCTCCAACAAGTAGCGGAACCGCTGGTAGTTCTTCAGCAGGTACTTGGGAGCGTACATCTGCTCCTTGGGGTCAGCAGGGGGATACTCCTGCGTAGTACCATCAAACCAGCCACCAGTCCGGATCAGCTCCCGGATATAATTGAGGTCTCGTTTATCCTCATAGTCACCCCAGCGGGGGAAGTCCCCATTCTGGGCTGACACCAGTTTGAAGTAGATCCCCTCAGGGGTGAAACACCAGGAGCAGTGCCAGCCAGCAAAGTGGAGGGGGCTGCCCAGCGACCACTGCACCAGGATATGTCCTGTGCTGTTCTCATACTGCCGAAAACCAGGCATGGTGTAGTACTCACGGCGTCGCAATCGTATCCCGTCAGTAGCATAGACAGCCTGGAGCATCCCCATGGTGCAGCCTGAGACCACCTCCAAGGTGCCTGGCTGCTTCCAGAAGAAGCCATAGAGTGACTTGCGCATGTGAAAGGCGAAGGGCTCTGTCCAGCCGTCATAGAGCTTGAGGAAGAGCACGCCATCACGGGCCGGGATCTCATCAGCATCATCAATGATGAAGACATCATCCGGGCGCAGGTTGTGGAGGCGAGAGACGCCATCCCGGGTGAGAAAGGTACGTAGGTAGTCGTCAGCAATCCAGCCGTCCTGGCGGCCGCCGGGGGGAAAGTGGTCCAGAAAGACATAGAGCACCTTGTGGCGGATGTAGTCAAAGGAGCCGTTGAGGAGCATCTCGCGGAACTTGAGGGGCCGTGGCTCTCCATAGGCTGTGAAGTTTGACTCACACACCACGAAAGCATCCACCACGTCACCCAGCTCGTGGAAGCGGACGTCCAGCAGGTCAAACTCGTGGTTGACGTTGATAGCGTTGATGACCCGCCGGGGGATCTCCCGAGGCACGAGGCGGTCCTTGGTGGGCAGGTTGGAGTACTGGACCACAGTGGGGACGCCGCAGCTGGGGCCGTGCCAGCCGGGCAAGCACACACACTCCACCCACTTGCGCCGCTTGGCTCCGCTGGTGCTCAGTGGCTTGCGAACCGGCCGCCCCGAGGCCGCGCCATCCGCTCGCTCCTCCAGCCGACCTCCCACGGGTGGTTTCTCCAACACCTTGGTGCCTGGTTTAAAGCAAATGCCACCAGCTTTGGTACGGACAAAGTATTCTGTTGTGTCTTCTGGCAGCACGAACTCAACTTTGTGCAGCTCTTCGCTGGCTCTGCTGGGAGGGAGGGGCTGGAGCAAGGGGGAGTGAGAGTACAAGGGTGTGCGGAGGAACTCTGCACCCCCTGGCTCAGGGCTGACCTGAGGTGTGACAGGGGCATTGTTCCAGAAGAAGCTGGAGACGAGATTGGGACTAAGCGAAGCCAGCTCCCTGGGGAAGGTGACATAGGAAAGGGCCTTGAGGAAGTGCAAGAAGGAGATGAGGCAGAGACCAGCCATGCAGAGAGTCAGAAAGAGCTTATGGCGTCTCATCTTCATCCTGTGGAAGAGCCATGAAAAGGAAAGTCACATTCAATAGTTATTGAAGTGCAAAAAGTTTACCATCGTTAGAAAAACAGGTTGGGGATGGCAGAAAGCTGGTCCAAATTCAGCATGCATCTTCAGATACTTGAATCCAGGAACTACTCCCCCCACCCCCTGCCATCTTCAGTGGGTCTTTTGCCTCAGCTATATTACACCAAGATGAACCTCTGCTAGATCAGTCACAGTCTCATAAATCCACTGAGACAAGAAAGGCACTGGCAATGGGGTAGAAAGACAGGAAATGCAGAGTAACAGGAATTCATGATCCAGTGAACTCACTGCACTTGGCAGATTTGCCCCCTATTCAATGACAGATACAAAATGAACATAGACCTCCTCAGACTGTGCATCACCAGAGGGTTGGGGGAAAATGGAGAGAGAGGAGGAAGGGTGAGAGTGTGTGTGTGTGTGGGGGGGGGGCATGGTTGAAACATGACCAGTATAAGAGAGGCAGTTCTAAAGGACCGTGACCATTAAGTCAGACTGCCAGAGGCAGCCTACGCTCCCCAGATTTTCTCAGTGTTTGCTCAACACACGCCCTAAAAACCCACCCTTGTTCCTAGGAAATGCTACCCAAGTTCACATGGGGAATTGGAAAACAAAAATGAAAGTTTAAGATCCTCTCACATTAACTCTTCTACCGTCCTTCTCAAGTCCTCTATATCTCCAAATGTTGCCCTTTGCCTTTCATTTTCTGTGCACCAAATGCTGAGGGTTTTTTGCATCTGGATTCAAGGTGACTAAAATAAACACCTCACTGTCTTTGCTGGTACTGCTGTACCATCATGATGGATTTGTGTCAGGCCAGGAAGAAGCCAGCAGTGCAGAATCCTTCCCTCCAAACGCCACAAAATATTGCCTTCATCCTTCCTTACACTACCTCCCCACCTCCAGCCCAGGCAAGGAACGCAGAGCTGCTGTCAGGCAGAGAAGTGATTGAAGACTACAATCCAGAAAAAGGACAAAAATAAAAAAAAATAAGATTAAAAAAATCTAATCTCACACAATGCTCCACCAAGGAAAAAGGAGAAAAGGTGCTCACCATATGCTGTTTAGGGAAAGGAAAGCTGGGGCGAAGCTAGGCATGGCGAGATCATCCAAGAGCCCTTCCCAATCCACAGGCTGTCCTTTGCTCACTGGAGCAGGAAACCCTCCATGCAGTGACAGGCAGAGGCGGAGATCCCCATGCACACAACATGTACCACTTTGCTCCCTCCACAACATGCTCCTCCCTATGGTGGCTCTCTGCCCCCAGCAGTCTCCCTTTCTAGGGCCAAAGTTCCCGAGAGGCACCACACCTATAAAGCTTCCACATGGCACATAATGGTGCCAGCAATGCCTTCATAGGAGGTAGTCCCTGCTTCTGGGAGCCACAGGGGAGCTGCCCCACACCCCCAGCCCCACAGGCTGCTCCCCTGCCCGAGGGCTCCTCAAGGCTGACACATGGGCAGGTTGTGGGAACAGAGGGAAGAAGCACCCAGCCTGCTCCCATCGCTTCAGAGGGTATTAAATAAGACACAGAGCATGTTTACTGATTAACCTGAGGGGAATTTAATACTAACATGAAAAGCCATAAAGCATTTAGACAAACAGGAACCACCCAAAGGAAGGCATCTGGCTCTCCACAGATGGCTCTGACAGAGACTTTGGTAGAGGGGTTGTCCACAGTTGTACCTCACAGCTCAGCGACAAGCATTTCTGGACACTTTGCAGTCGTGTTTTTAGTGAGAGCAACCATCCACTGACATTGTCCCCGGCACTTGGGTGGCAGGGCAAGGAGTCCCACCTCAAGTTCTGACAGAAGGACTGCAAGCCTGAAGCTGGTGGTAAAGTTACAGCAAGGCCATGGGAGAGTTAAAAATGAAAAGAAAAATAAACAAGGAAAAAAGAGACAGCTTAATTCTATTGTTTAATGTTTAGTACTGGGTTTGATATACTTCAACACAGCACAGGTCAGTGGCAGGGCAGGGTGCCGGCTCTGTGCACCCCCAGGAGACCATCTTGTCAGACAGGTGGGTAGGGAGGAAATGGTGGCTCTCCTCAGGGGGCTGCACCAGGGCAGAGCCTCACCTGCACCCACCCAACACAGCTCCACAGCCTGACCTCACACACCTGGTCATGGCCCACCTGGTGGGAGGTCACACCTTTGTGGTGATCCAGCCATGAAGCTGGATATTCTCCAGTCAAAAGCCATAAAGAATCATCTTGGGGCTTGCTGTCAAGCTTCATGGGAGAAAAATAAGGGGCTGCAGAAAACCCCAAGAGCATCTCATGTCCAGGATTTTTTTTTTTCCTGAAGTCTCTACTAATGTCTCACAGAAGCAGCAAGATCACTTGGAAGATAGAGGAGTATTCAGTGCCTTTCCCTTGCATGTCACCAGCTTTTGCTCTGTGTGTTGAAGTGTGAGGAAGAGAAGGGCACTAGAAGCCAAAAATACTAAATTAGCCGTGACTGGCTGTCAGGAGAAAGTGTCCGCCACTGGTAAATGAGTACAGCTTTCTCCAGTCAGGTGTCCTGTGCCTTCTCCAAGGCACTACTTCCAGACATCAGGTAGCTGAAACCTAGGCAAGATAAATGGCTGACCTGCTCCAATATGGTAATCCCAATTGCTGCCAGGTAACGCTGGTTTTGCTCCAGTTCCTACAGGACGCACAAATGCAGGGCAGCCAGCTTCCTCTGGGCCAGCCCAGGACTGAGGGTAGGCGCTGAAGGAATTGCATAAGGCACATCATTTTCTCAGATGGCTGTAATGCTCTGCGTGCCACAGTAAACTCCCAGACAAAAAGCCATAACTCTTGACATTCAACAAACTGCTCCATTTTCTGAGATGTAGTGCACCGTGTCAACATAGCAGGACACACGGTTTTAGGAGGCAAAGCATATTTTCCTCACTTGACATTTGCAGTATCTGTCAGGCTCAGCACACGGCTCTGCAGCTCTTCACCCAGTGGCACAATGAGCCCTGGGCACAGCTGCGCTGCCTCCCCCGCTATTGCCGCCTGTGCCTGGGAGAGCCAGGCTGGTGTGCACAGCCCCTGCAGCTCTGCCAAAGCAAGCTGACCCTGCAGTACCCTCTGCTGTTCCACCGCTGACATGTCCCAGGAGGCCATTTCCACTGCTCGAGTGGGAGCATGAACATATTTCCTATCCTCTCCTAAAAGGGGGGGAAGCAAAGAAGCAAGGTGTGTCCTCTTCAAAATCTCATCCCTGGGAACCACCTTCATTCTCACATGCCAGAGATTCCTCTGCCAGGGAGTGGAGAACACTCGCGCACCCTTACGTGAGTCAAGAAACTAAATAACATCAGTCACGTATCTCTTCCCATATCCTCTGATCAGCCCTGCAATGAAAGATGTGTCTGAGTGGTAGCTAGTCGGAGACAAAGGCCAGCAGAGAAACTGTTATTACCCCCCCTCACCAAAACATTTACATGTGGTGGAAATGAGAAAGGAGGTACCAGTCAGAGAGACATCTCAGTTTGTCATAAAGGAGCCCAGCTGCTCTAACACAAAGCAGCCATCAGTTACCAGGAACACAGAAAACAGCAAGACAATTTTGAGTGAGGAGAGGGAAAAAAAAGTCAACTTGATCTCCAGGAGAGTGATCAAGTTGCTGTCAGGTTAAAAACAGCAGTATAAGAAAAGCTTTAATGTTCAAGTAGAAGAAAAAGCCAGGAGTATGGACAGTCAGCTCTATTAAGACAAAGCTCTTTCTTTAAGAAACACAAACTGCTTCAGCAACACTCAGTTCTGGCAAGACAAGCTGAAAGCTTCTTTTTGTAAGGGATCCCTTTGATATTTCCGTGTTTAAAGTTCTGTGTCTACCATGCAGGTGAAGGGCTTTCAGAGAAGGAGGAAAGCTAGAGGTCGTACGCACATGAGTTATCTCCAGGCACCTGTTAGCATTTTACTTTGCCATTATATCAAGTGAACGGTTGATTTATACCATCCTGAAATCATATACTTATTTTTCAGGAAGCCAGAGAGAAAGATATGCACCGGTAAGTACTGGCAGTTCACCAGTCCTAATGCTCTCTTCTGGAGAACACTGGCAAGAGGCCACTAACAAGCTGCTGGATGCATGCTATGCCACACTCCATCTCATTAGGGCATGGAATGCAAGACTCCTTAGACTTCTCCACAGCTCCTGTGGAGAACAAATCAGAGCAGAAGCTTCTGGTTTTCCCCAATACCAAAACGCTCATCTCCTCAGCCTAAAGTTATCCCATAACACCCATGCAGTAACATATTTGCCCATCACTCAGACACTTCAACACAAAGCTCTCAATTCACAAATGTGAATTGCTTTCACATGGCAGATTAAAATCCAGTATGACTTCCATCCTCCATAGCAAGGGCCCAGCTCTCTCCAGCTAGAGACAAATGGGATAGGCTCTGCATTTCTGAAGCACTATCTGCCATCCCCAGGGAACAGAAATCTCAACAGGCATCAGAGCCACAGTACTCTAAATGCTCTTAAAATATCAAGTTACTTTTGTTCTGCAAACACTCACTGAAGGAGAAACTATAAAACTTGTATTTGTCTATGACCAAAGCAAGCTCAGGGACAGCAGGACTGTGCTTTGCTTAATGGTAGGAAGAGAAGATTATCATACAAAGCCGGACAGCAGAAAAAGTGTAGAGGAGCAAGATGTACCAGAAGGTAGCTAGGGCTCAGCACTTCTCTCATGTGAAGGATGCCATGGTGTTTTCAGGGACAGCAAGCTATGAGGACGTTAGCAAGAAGTTCTGGCAGAGTCACAGCACAAGGTGGTTTGAATGTGAGCAGGTCCATATCAGCTTCCCTTCACGTTTCAAGGACGGGATACAACATTCTCCCGTGACCTTCACCAAGAGCTGCTGCCCACAGCACTAATGCAAAACACCAATACCTCGTGCTCTGTATTTCCTTTGCAGCTTTGAGATAACTGACCACAAGGTGCCACTGACTTGCTGACAGCCCAAACAGCTGGAGCAAGCCATCCAACACAGCCTGACCTTACTTAGCAACTAAGGCAGAGTGAGGCTCTGTAGTGAGCACCTTCCCTCCATTTCCACAGGGAGGTGAGCGGAGATATAAGATGACCACTCAACAGGGTGCCACCATAATTCCCAGAGCTGCCATCCACACACCATTAGTAGGTCTCATCAAGCCAGGAAGAAAACTCGACTGAAGAAGAAAAAAAAAAAAAAAAGAGAGCTAAAGGGTGCATCTACACAAGACTAAGGTGAGGTTGGCCAGGGAAGGCTGATAACACAGTGCAAACAAAGGCATTGCCTTCCCCTTCCCAGGGAAGGCAGACACATTATGTAAAAGTCAACCACAAGACCTTGCTAGGTCTCAACGGACCAGCAACATCTATGGTCAAAAAACAAACAAATCAGTTGTCTCTTCTACACATTCTTCTAGGAAACCCAAGTGCTCCACACCAGCTGCTACCATCTGCTGCGTACAAAAACTAAGATGGATGCAACACAAAACCTCCAGTCTGTGGCTGCTCACCTCTTCAACTCTAGAAGCACAGTACCTTTGGACTCCACACTTTCCATGGGCTTTCATTGTTTCAACTGTTCTCTCAAGTGTCTTGTCCTGATATTTAGTTATTTGGTTATTTTAGATGCCACATCTCCAGTCTCAGCAAGGCAGCTGCACGCTGTGGGACAAAGCAGCTCTTAACCCTCTCCACAGAACACACAGGACCTGGAGATAAAGTGGTCTTTACTGACAAGACTTTGGCTCAAGACTGATCTTCCAGAAATCAGCAGAATAGACCAGCATCCAAACACCTTCAGAGTCCATTATAAAACCCTCCACTCGAACAGATTGTTCTTACCGTAGCTACCATAAAACTAATAGCAGCATAATTATATAATTCTCCAACCCCCAGTTTAAAAGAAGATCTTCTCAGAGAAGACTAGAAAACACTAGTGAAATCCAGTAATGGCCTACGAGACACCAATTTAATTTTATCCAAGAAGTACTTGGACATCACAAGGGTGCAGTACTGCATACTAAGGAAAACTAAGCTGGATTTCCAACTCCACTGGAATCTGTCAAATATTCTTCTCAGTATCCTTCAGCTGTACTGGGCTCCCTTGTAGCTAATCCCCTCTCTCCAGCTAAATCCAGTCTCACCATAGGAATTTTCATGGCTTCAGAGATGCCTCTGCACACTAATCCTTCATATACT